AAGTGTGTGTCGATTAAATATGTGATGCCTAATTAAAGGGCAGGGGGACATCTAGTTAGAAATGTGTAGGAAATAAAGTCCAGAATAGGACTCAGAGTAAAAGTTAACAACTGGTATTAACAAGGATTTAGGAGTTGTTGATTAGTTAATTGAGTCCTTGAGAAATATGTAAGACTGTAGAGGCAACAGGGTAAACAGGCTAAGGGTGGAACCTCCATAACTCCTACGGTTATGTCAAATGTCAATGAGAAAGCACTGAGAGAACATAGCAAGGAGAGATCAGAAAGGTGGTTCAGGAGATCTGTTGGCCCGGAAGCCAAAGGAGCGGAAAGGAGAGTTACCCATTTGTGCATGTCCAGCTTTAAATATTTATTTTGTATTTTGAAATTGTATCTTTTTTTTAAGCTGACTAACTGTGAAGGTTTCGTGGATTCTAGTTATCCTAGTGGTAAAAATGATTTTAACAGGTAGGTAAGACTTCGTGTTGAAAGGATCAGGGTTGAATGGGGCAGGTAAAATCCAAGCATATCCCAGAGGCATGTTAAATGTGGGGAAATTTCAGGATGGCATTCACATATTTTGGAATTTAACATGTAATTCCTTTAGACTTCTTGTTGCTACATCATGGAGTTAAATATATAAATTTTAGTACGTTATATGTAGTAGTTAAGCAACAGAATAATTATGTCTTAAAAGTTGTTTATTTTATGAATTCATTTAGTGTAATGTCTCTATTAGTGGCCTACCCTAGAATATTTTAAGTGATTATATTAAGTTTTATTTCTAGACAATTTTTGTGAAACTTATTTTGCCTAAGGCAGGCACATAGTTCAGTTAAAATAAAAAAAGACATAAGCTCCAAAATGGGCATTGGTTTCTTACTACTTTATGGCTTTAAAAATCATTCTGAATCCTCTTGCTGTAGTGTTTACTACACCAGCTAGCAGTAGGACTTAACATTAAATTTTCATTTTGATTAACTTGACTGTAGTTGTTTCTTGGTTGCCTCTTTAGAGCCCACTGTGGAATAAAATTAAAACAGTTTTTATGATACAACAATTTAGTTGCAGAAAATGACATTTTTCTTTTTTCCTGAATGGCAGTGTGTTCCACATCTGGATTTTCCGCATATGCCCCATGGCTCTGGTTTCTTTCTTCTCCAATCCATCTTTTAGAGTACCGCCAGATTAATTTTTCTAAAGCAGAGCTTTGTCTATCTTCTCATCCAAAACCCTTCAGTGGTTCCCCATAGCTTCTCTCTTATCTAAGCCCAACTCATTCTTCAAAGAAAGAGCAACCCACATTCGGTATTTGCCCTTCCACGTTTTTCTTTTTTTTTTTTTGGGACAGAGCACAGTGGCGCGATCTCGGCTCACCGCAACCTCTGCCTCCTGGGTTCAGGCAATTCTCCTGCCTCAGCCTCCTGAGTAGCTGGGATTACAGGCACGCGTCACCATGCCCAGCTAATTTTTTGTATTTTTAGTAGAGACGGGGTTTCACCGTGTTGACCAGGATGGTCTCGATCTCTTGACCTCATGATCCACCCGCCTCGGCCTCCCAAAGTGCTGGGATTACAGGCTTGAGCCACCGCGCCTGGCCTACTTCCACGTTTTTCTTGATCTCCTCTGCTGAAGTCCCGATCTCTGCTTTAGATTTCTTATTCCTCTTGCATAGCATTCATCATGGCCTTTCTTACATAAAATTACATATGAACCCATCCCACCCTCAAGAATGACTTCTTGAATGTAGGAACCAAGTCTTCCTTATATTTTTGCCCACTCCCTCATTGCCTTGTGCATAAAAGATAAAACATACTTGTTGAGCCAGGAGCAATGGCTCACACCTGTAATCCCAGCACTTTGGGAGGCCAAGGCAGGCAGATCACAAGGTCAGGAGATAGAGACCATCCTGAAACCCTGCCTCTACTAAAAATACAAAAAATTAGCGGAAAGTGGGGGCACATGCCTGTAATCCCAGCTACTTGGGAGGCTGAGGCAGGAGAATCACTTGAACCTGGGAGTCTGAGGTTGCAGTGAGCTGAGATCTCACCATTGCACTCTAGCCTGGGTGACAGAGTGAGACACTGTCTCAAAAAAAAAAAAAAAAAAAAGAAGTTTCATAATGAATGTTTGTTGGAATAGTTAAATAAGTGAAATGTCCCCTGTTCTATATAATCCTGATCCTCTTACCCATTACTTCCCCCCTCCCACAGCATCTCTCACCTTCCAATTCACTTGTAATTTAATTACTTATTTTTGTTGTTGGCATTGGCTGTCTTCTCCCTGTTGAATAGTAAATACCCTAGGGCAGCAATCTTGGGTTTGTTCACTGGTGTGTGCCTAGTGCTCAAAACAGTGCTTGTTAATATTGGTTGAGTGAATGAATGAAACTTGAAGCCAAAGGTCAGTTTCTCCCTGTTCTTTGGATTATGTCAGTGGTTTTCAAGGTAAAGGACATTGTGGCATTGGAAGAGCAGGAGAGAGATGGAGAGAGACCCCAAAGCTAGCTCCTGCCACTTACTAAGTAAGCTGTGCAGCTTTGGGCAAGTTTCTTGACTCCTCTGAAGGTCATTTTCTAATTTACTGAAGGTTAATATAACTTAAATTACAATATTTATATAAGGATTACATTTTAGGGGGAAAAAGCATACCATGAAATCAGTAGCTTATGTGTCCTGATCATTGCTATTATGTGCTAGACCTGGTGTCACACACTTTCCATTCACTGTCTCTGTGCATCTCCACATCCACTCTGTGCAGCAGGGCCTGTTGTATTAATAACTGTCTCACAGGTGAAAAGAGGAGGTTCCCGCCCAAGACCACATACACAGTGGTGGGTAGTGAACATCGCCTGAGACCAGGTCTGTGGGACCCTAAACCTGGTGCTTGTAACTCCTGCCTACTGTGCATTTGCTCATCAGGGGGCTGCATGATTTCTCCTTTGGAGCAGCAGTTCTAGATTTTTTCCTTCCTGCCCTAAAGTGGTTGAGGGAAACAAAGGGCTCACAAGTACCACTGGCTTCCAGGCAGTGTCTTTCTGAAAAAGCCAGGCCATATCCCCTCAAGAGGTGATGGGCAGCAGAGTCTGGTTTGAAAAATACTCCCTGATGAATTGAATTCTCTCCCTCCTGCTAATGTACTGCCACTTCCAGATCTGTTTCTTTTCTCTCCATGTCCCTTATAAAAAGTTTTTATCATTCTCAGCAAACCGACAGAAGAGCAGAAGATCAAACACCGCATGTTCTCACTCATAGGCGGGTGTTGAACAATGAGAACACATGGACACAGGGAGGGGAGCACTACACACTGGGGTCAGTTGGGGGGAAATGGGGGAGGGACGGTGGGGGGTGGGGCGTTGGGGAGAGGTAGCAAGGGGAGAGATGCCAGATGTAGGTGATGGGGAGGAAGGCAGCAAATCACACTGTCACGTGTGTTCCTATGCAACAATTGTGCATGTTCTTCGCATGTACCCCAAAGCCTAAAATGCAATAAAATAAATAAATGGGGAGAAAAAAAAAAGTTTTTAAATCTTTGTATTTTGTGCTATACAAAGTGTATAGCGCCATGTCTAGCAGGTATAGCAGGTATTTTATACTATTCATTCATTAAGATTGTTTTAATCTTTTTGTTTTATTGTTTTTTGAGACAGGGTGTCGCTCTATTACCCAGGCTGGGGTGCAGTGGCACAATCTCAGCTCACTGTAGCCCCCACCTCCCAGGCTCAAGCAATCCTACTACCTCAGCTTCCTGAGTAGCTGGGACTACAGATTATGTGCCACCACACCTGGCTAATTTTTGTAGAGATGGGATTTGGCCGTGTTGTCCAGGCATGTCTCAAACTCCTGGGCTCAAGCAATCCTCCTACGTGGGTCTCCCAAAGTGTTGGGATTACAGGCATGAGCTACCATGGTAGGCCAAGACTGTTTTAAAGATTGTATTGTTTTGGAAACAAATTAGATAGTTTAGGTTGGGATAGCCAAGTTGATCATTACAGCCTCCTCTGTTTATTGAAAAAGTACTGAAACTTTTAAGAATTTTTGAGAGATCTACAAATGCCTTTTCAAAACACACAGTTAAATCACTAATAACTTAATTAAGGAAGACTATTTTCTGTATAAAAAATTAGCCTTTTCAGGTATTTTCATTGAGCACTTAAAATTGCTAAACTAGGATTAACGGGATGGATTATTTCACATCTAAAAACATCTTTTAAGTTACAGGGAATGTATTTCTCTTTTGAAATAATTTGTCATCAGTTCTAATGCTGAAAAGGTACTTCAGAAAATATTAAAATGAAAAGATATTTCATTTGTATGCTATAAATCATTGTTTTTAATTGATTGGGAAGTTTGGTAGGAGGCCAGAGAAAATTGGCAAACATAAAATTTAAAAGGAAGGATAAGCATTTAGTTCCAGCCCCTATTTCAACAGAGATGTTTATTATTTATTTTTGTAGCTTTATTGTAGTGATTAAAGCATAAGCTTTGCAATCCATCTACCTAGCTTTGAATCCTTGCTTTTCAGTTTATTAAATCTGTGAGCTTAGACATGTTAATATTTCAAACTTTGATTTTCTCACCTGTAAAGAAGGACCATTACCTTTTATCTACCTCCTAAAGCTATCTTATGACATGAAATAGTATATGCGAAACATCTAAACAGTGTTTAGATGTCTAAATGTCTAAATGTATCCTAGGCACTTAATAAATGTTTTATTATCATTAAAATGTAATCATTTAGGCATAATGTGATATTTGAATATCTATTTGCAAATGAGTGGGAGACATTTTTATGGACTTCTATGTACAGTTGTCAACTTGGTGTGGAATCCCCTTTTTTTAAAAAAAAAAAAAAAACAATTCAGAAGTAAACTTTATCTCATCTTGGGATGAACTATCAACTTCTGCATTAGTTAGCTTTTAACTAATGAAATTTTATTGCAAAGTATGGAGTAAGCAGATTATGAATTCTAAGTTTCTCATATAAAATTGTATTTCCTAGGAGAGTGCATAGAAGGGCTGCGGGAAAATGACTACCTGCTGATTCATTCCTGCCGTCAGTGGACCACCATCACTGCCCACAGCTTGGAGGAGGGCCACTATGTCATTGGGCCAAAGATAGAGATTCCAGTACATTATGCAGGTAAGACTCCTCGAAGGGCCAGGACAAGGCAGAGAGAGAAAGGGGATGTGAATAGCTGAACTTTTCCTCTAAGAATTGTCTGTAAACTAGAAAGTAGAATGATTTAGAGAATCCAACATTTGTGTTCGGTTATCAACCAGTGAAGGCTCAGATTCATTTTGTCACAAGTATTTCTAATTAATGTATGTAGTTCAGTGGGGATTCTTATAAGGTATTTATAAGATAGAAATTTTACAAATAAAACACCTCTATAGTCTTCGAATTAAAATTAATACTGTAGCCAATCTCAGAGCTTCAGGGGGTCATGTCTCTGAATAACCCTGTGTACAACTTGAACATTGCTTTCGTGAATGACTTTGTGAAGATTTCATAAGATGCTATGTCACAAATTAGATTGTGGTCAGGTTTTAAAAGTATTAGATTGGAAGTTCATATGCCTTGGGCTGGACATGTCCTTCTTTTCAAGTAGGCATTTAGATTACAGGCAACTGAGATGACCTCACTGATTTAGTTAAATGAGGGTAATACCTGCCTTCTCACCTCACTTTGAACTTGACTCAGTGCAGCATGCTATTTAACTGATTTTTATTGAGTATATGTGACAGTACTGTTTTAGGAGCTTGGGATACATCTACTGGCTTAAATAAACTTTAAATATAGTGATAGCTTATAAATGCAATTAAAAGAAAACTTATGTTACCATATGCTTTTTCTGGTGCTTATAGCACATTATATAAAAGATCTTAGCCTTTTCTCTATTATTGTTCAATATTTCCCAAGTTTGTACAGGATGCCTTAATCACCTAACCTTAAATTTTGTAGCCCTAGACTGCCATTGTGTTCTCAAGTAACTCCTTTACAATGACCAGAGAGTTATTATTTGGAAAAGAGACCTTGCTGTATTCCCACTGTCTAGACATAGCAAATAGTATCTGTTTGATGAATATTTAATGAATGAATGAATAGTTTGGTTTCGTTTTTGATTCCTGGGAGCCTTCAATTGCCGATGTGACCCAGGCATTACTTAGCTTCTCAAAAATCCTTACTCAGAAAAAATTATAAGAATTTCTCTGGCCTAAAACTTTGTCCTCTAGAATTGTATTTCCTAGCCCTAAGAGTAGCTTTCATGGCAAAAGAGAGAAATGTATAGCTGTAGAAAGCATTATATCTCTTAGATTGTAACTCCGGCAAATGGGGCAGTTTTCACAGGGGCAGAGAATGAAACAAACCCCCTACCCCACCCATCCTCTCATCAGAGTGGTTCCTACTACTGGTGACATCCGTGCTATTTTTAGCAAGTCCAAATTCTGGTTTCTTTGTGGAAAACTAAAAAGAAAGGTAAATTGCTACATTGCTTTATCCTCTACACTTTTACCTAATCTGCCGTATTCTTCTGTGAGGAAATTACATTTTAGTCTTTCCCCCAAAATCATTGTGAAAAGCTCTGTCAAATCAGTCTTCCCAAAAGAATGCCCTCATTTTATCACCTCCTAAAACCCCTTTAGACACTGCATCCTGCTGCTAGAACCTTTGACTTCTTGTTGAATGCCTTCCAGAGGCTGGTTCTAGTCTACTCCAAACTGATCTCTTCTACTCCAAAGAGTGAACCTCCCACTCTATAGCTACGTTAGTCATCTCACTGTTTTCCGAACATACTAGACACTTTTCCATTTACACAGTCTCTGGCTGGCTGGAGTTGCCTCACTCAGCTCATCGGTGCATCAGGAGGATGCAGCCATCCTCTGCAGCCCCATATGGTCTCCTGATATGTCCCGCTCATTTAGCACACATCCTCAGTCTTCAGTCAATTAGCTTTTCCTGTGTACACATGCACCGGTTGGACTATACAGTCCTTAACAAGTTGTGCCAATTCTAAAAAACACCCTGAAGCCTTTGGATCTGTACTCAAAAGATAATTCTTTGTGGCCATGGATGTTTGACTCAGGGATCTCAAACTTGGTTATACACTGGATTCACCTGGGGACCTTTAAAAAGACTGATGCAGGGGTCCTACCTCCAGAAGTTAATTGGTCTGGAGTGTTGGCTGGATATAAGAATTTTAAAAGCTCCCTTGTGGTTAAAATACATAGCATTGTTGGGAACCCATTGTTTTAGAACGAGTATCCACAATGTGAGACAATAAGATTTCCCCAAACACGCACAAATATTTGTACATATTCTGGTGTTTGGAACTTCTTTTTGAAACAGCCATCCAGCTTCCCTTGGGAAGGAAGATGTGATCTTGTTCAGCAGCTTACTTTAGATCCATAAGGAAGATGATGGATTATGTTGCAAATGATACATTATTAAAAAATGAAATTGAGGTACCAATACTCAGAGGAAACATGGGCACTAAGATCACGTCATTCAACAGAAGGGAGAGAACATATATTAAAGAAAAAAAAATTTGAAATAGGACCCAATAGTTCATGAGATCTTTTGCCATTAAACAAAATCGAATGAATGGTTGGTTATGAATGCCTAAATGTTCTAAGCTGTCTTCCTGAATTTCTTCAACAAGAAGTTAAGGTAGAAGTTTTGAGATACAAATATATTCCAGTTGATCATTTTGTTTTGGGTTTTATCTCTTAAGATAACACCAATAAACTTGCTTTATAAAGTTTATAAAGAAAAATTTACTGATTTAGTAGATTAAAAAAAAAATCTTATAAACAGGTAAATAAGACTGTGTGTTTTTATAAGTGTTGTTTATTTGTTTGTTTTGGAATAAGTTTTCACTCTGTTACCCAGGCCAGAGAGGTGTAGTGGTGTGATCATGGCTCACTGCAGCCCTGAACTGTTGGGCTCAAGGGATCTTCCCACCTCAGCCTCTTGAGTAGCTGCCACTACAGGCTTGCGACACCATGCCCAGCCAACTTTTAAATTTTTTTGTAGAGACTGGTTCTCGCTTTGTTGCTCAGGTTGGTCTCAAACTCCAGGTCTCAAGCAATCCACCTGCCTTGGCCTTTCAAAATGTTGTGATTACAGGTATGAGCCATCATAACTGGCCTAGGAGTATGTTTGATTACAGTATAAAGTGGAGACCCATGAGTCTTGATATGATTGATCATTTCAAGGTTATGGTAGATATATTTTGTCTCTAAGAATCTATTTATTACCAGCTTCAGCTCTTGGAAGAAAGAGAGCATATAGTACATTGTGGAGACCCAAAATCATTTATGTCTCCCTTATTTTACCAATTTTTCAGAATTTCATCTAGGTTGAGATGAATCTCACATTTTTTGAGGACAATTAATAAATAGTTACCAGAGTTGTAAAGCCCACCAGCTTTGTAATCAAAGGACCTAGTTTGACTTCTCATTCTGCTATTTTCTGTCTGTATTACTTTGGGCAAGTTACTAAACCTCTTTAAATCTTTGTTTCCTCATCTATAAAGTGAATATTATTGTAGTACCTTTGTCTTAGGGTAATTGTGAAGATTGAAAGAGAAACACCTTTCAGAGTGTTTACTACTTAGTAAGCCTCCATAAATGTTAATGGTGATAATTATGATCATGTTAGCAACTAAATGTTTCTAAGATTTAACTCTTTCCCCTGCACTACTAATTACAAGCTGAATTACTTTTCTCTTCATGCAAGCTAGTTGAATACTGACATCCCTCAACATTGTTTGGGCTGCTGTTTTTTGGTTTGCTATTGTAATTTTATTTTGAAGTTGCAGTAGTATAGTTTACTCCCTTATGCCATTTCCCATTTTACCCATTTTTAGCATCATTTTGCCACATTTGTTTTTTTAATCATTCTTACCCTCGTCCCTCCCCACCAAATGCACATACAAATACAGACAAATATGCTATTTATTTTTTCTCAGTTATTTGAGAGTAGACAGCATACATCCCCCTAATACTTTACTGTGTATTTCCTAAGAACAAGGATATCCTCTTATATAACCACAGCACTGGTAGAAAATTCAGTACATTTAATACTTTAATCTACTGTCATTCTAGTTTTGTTGATTGTCCCATTAATGTCTTACTGCATTTTTTCCCTTCCAGGACAACATCCAGTCTAGGACCACTTACTGTATTTTGCTCTTGTATTTCTTCAGTCTCCTTTAATCTGGAACAAGCTCCTCAGCTGTCTTTGTGTTTCATGATATAGACATTTTTTTAAAGAATTCAGACAAATTATTTTCTAAAACAACCCTCAGTTTGGGTTTCCCCGTGTCCTCATGATTGGATGAGGCTGTGCAGTCTTGGCTGCTCTGCTGTGTATTGTGATAGTGGCAAGGGATGTCCTTTGCCCCTTACTGGTGATTTTAGTTTTGATCACTTGGTTAAGGTATTGTCCAGTTCCTCTGCTGTATAATTACCATTTAGTTTGTGACTACTGGGAAATTTGAGAGGTTTGAGAGGATGTACTTTTAGACTCTGTAACTATCTTGCCCTTTCCCTAAATCTTCTGACCCCATCACTCCCCTATTAAGTTAGCTGTTAATGATTTCTGTCTGATTCCATTTTTACTATGAAGGTGGCAAAACAGTGCTTTTCTAACTTAACTCCATCATTCCTTCTTTTATTTGTTAGCTGTTATTCGCTAAGGAAAAGCATTTTTTTCTCTTCTATTTATTTTTTTACTTACCTGTTATTGTCAGCATGGATTTGTGGATTCTTATGCCATTCAGTGTATTATGGTATATTGCTGTCCTTATTTCTTTCAAATGATCATATGTTTGGTTATAGGCTAGCACCTGTATCTCTGTGACATTTGGGTGGTATAGGCTGGCACCTGTATCTCTGTGACATGCCTCCTTCATTTTTTAAATCATGTCCTTATTTTATGGCATAGGTAGCAACCATTCTTTTGAATCAGTATTTTCTTTTGGCAGGCTTCTACACTGTCCTATTCCAAGTAGCACTCCTCACTTTGTGATCTGTTTAAGAGAGTCTCTTGGAGTTGGGCAGTGCACAGCCTAGGCAGCCATACACCACAGCTCCATTCACATGTATTTTGGAAAGCAATAAAACTTATTTTAAAGA